GGGGGGAGCTGTGGTCTGAAGGACAGGGACAACAAAGGACCCAGCCCCACAGGGTCGCCCTGCGGCAATCTCCTCTGGTCCTAGCTCCTAACTGCAGAAACCGGCTTGTGCAGGGGGAGGTGGGGCGACTGCTGCCGCAGGAGAGGCCTTTATGGAGTGGAGGGGGCTGCAGTGGGCCCCGCGGTGCAGAGTGAAGCTGCAGGCTTTTGCTTGGCATGGAGTCACCTCCCCAAAGCTCTCTATGTCCCTGGACTGCCCCTCCGGTGCCCTAGTCCTGCAGAAGGGGGAGTGGAGGGGACAGAGGCCCCAGCTTACACTCCTCGGACCCTTTACAGCACTGGCCACCTTGGGAAGGTCATGTGACCAGGAGCTGGGAGTTCCTTCTGGGGTCGGCCTGACATATCTCCACTGCAGTGGCCCTGGTGGTCTGGAGAGAGACACTAGGCAGGGGCCCTTCCTGCCTCAGTCCTGGGGGAGATGCCCCAGAGGACAGCAGCTCCTTTGAGCTGAGACAGATAGTGGCCAAGGAGGCTCAGCTGGATACAGGAGCTGCATCCAGGTCCTAGCCATGCTTTCTAGAAGGACTCACAGAGAATGCAGAGATGGGGAATAGGGAAAGGTGGGCTGCACTGATGCCAGGGAGGACTGTGAGGGCCCAGACATCTCTGCCTGCCCACTCAGGGAAGTGGTCGGGCTGTCCCAACTCTGTGACAAGGGGTCAGTGGCAAATAGAAGTCTTGCAATGGCCCCACGTATGTGAGAGGAGGGACAGGGGTTTAAAAGCCTGAACTGTCCCATGTGGGTGATAAGGGATCAGGGACTAGAAACCCAGGTTGTCCCGCATCTGTAACAGAAGGTGATTGGGAAATGGCCTAGACTGACAGAGGGGGGCTGAGGAGAGTGTCATCACTGGCATAAGGGGGGATGTTCCTCCACGTGTGACAGGGTCCCATCTGTGGGGCAGAACAGGCCAGAGTGGGAATGCTGGAAAGTAGACACTGGTGGGCCCTACACTTCAGTGCCCCAAAGCCCCACCCTACTTCCCATCCCCCAGGAACCCAGGGCCATGAGTCCACACCCCCTGTGTCCTGGGGCAGGCTGGCTCTGCTTGGCCTCCCTCTGACCAAGCCCAAGGCCTGGCCCCACTCATCCCGGGATGCAGAGAGGGGTGCCAGGATAAGTGCCTTTGAGGATTATAGAGAGAGTGGAGAGCCCCAGTGGCACAGGAGTGAAAATACTTTGCTAGGGCCTACAAAGTCAATAGTTCAAGCCCACCAGAGATATGGCCATTGGCTTCTGCAAAATTGGCAGCCTTGCAGCCCCCACCCAGGACCTATCCGGTCCTGTGGTGCTGACATAAATTAGGATCACTTCACAGTGGGTCTGGTTTGATGGGGGAGGGAGGTGGAGGGAGGTAGTTAATACTGTGAGCACTGCCCCCCACAGGTCTGTGCACCCTCTTAGCCTCAGTGTGCCCTGTTACAGCCCCCAAAGCTGCAGACACATAGTGAGGTGACAAGCCCCCATTTTCACTGATGGCCCCTTTCTGGAGTGTGGAAGGGGAGGCTGTGCAAACAGTGAGGAGCTCAGCTCCCTGAAAGGTGGGAGATTCGGGCCCTCCAGTCCCTAGAGGCCCTAGCCCCCAGATACCCCCAGCTCCCCAGAGACCCTGGCCCCCAGACTGCCCCGAGAGGAGGGGTCCCCGGCCCTGAGAGACCTGGGATAACGAGGCCTTGTGGTCTGCTTACAAGAGATCTTCTCTGGAAACCCTCGAACCTCGTCCCCCCATCAGCATGGGTCCCCAGGAGTCAGAACCACTGATGGGTGCAGGCACTGGCGTGTGTCAGGCACCCCCCAGAGGCCATGCAGTAGGGAGCCTGAATGGTGACCGTGGAGTTTGGAGTGTGCTCAGGCTGTAGCACCACCTGTGTTCAGGGCCAGGGCCATGCCCAGTGGGGGCGCTAGTGTCCAGAAGCACCCATGGGAGAAGGTGCAGGGTAGGCCCCTAGCGTGGGGAGGACCTGGGTGTGTGTGCAGGGGTGTGTGCACACCTGTTCCAGCACTGGGCTGTGACCACATGTATGTGTAGTTGGTCATATGTGTGGAGTCACATGGGCTGGACAGTGGGACGGGTGCTGGCCAAGGCCATGTTCTGGCACTGAGCAGATAGACCAGGCTCACCTCTGCGCATGTGGCCCCAGGCAGCCTGGGAGAGGCTTCATTTTGCCCCTGGCCAGCTCAGAGTCCTTTGAGAAGGGCATTTGGGCTGTGCCTAGGGGCCCCGCCCTGCCTCCACCTGCACTGGCTGTGTCTGGGGAGGACTGGGGTTGGGAACACAGGCAGCCTGGGCGGTGGGAGGCAGTGTGGGCTCAAGGTTCTCAGACCCTCTACGTCCACCTTCTCAGCACCCACCTGTCTCCTTGTAGCCCCGCTGGGGTACCAGAGGCCAGCCTGCATCCTGGCCCCTCACCCAGCTCAGTGCATGTGGAAGGGTGACAAGGGAAGGGCTCTCCCGGGAGCACTCAGCCCATGGAGACCCCAGTGGTAAGGCTGGTTCCCGGGACTGCGCGCAGGAGGGCAGCGGGGCCAGACCAGAAGCCTCGGGAGAGTCTGGCTGACTCCCCGGCCTCTGAGCCCTGTTGGGGGGGGTTTGGGGAGCGTCCTGGAGGCACCTGCTGGGGGCGGAGCCAGGCGAGGGGCGGGGCTCAGTGGAGCTGCAGGCCGAGCGTGCTCAGTGGCTGCTGCGGCAGAAGCAGTGGTTGCCTGGCACCTCTGCTGTTGCCATGGTGACGGTGGAGGTGCTAACGTGCTAATGAGTCCCCTTCGGTTGCAAATAACAGCGCTATGGTGCTTAATCGGAGGAGCTGGAAGGCTTCCTTAGGAGACTGGCCAGGCCAGGTACCAGAAGGGAGCGCCTGGTGCCCGCCCACCCCTCCCCTCCGGGACCCCTCCAGGCGCCCTCCCTGCTCCTCCCACCCCTGGGCACGTTCTTCTGCCTTGATCTCCAGGGTACCACTTGTGGGTGCCTCCAGGCACTCCGTTACCCCTGCTCTGGGGGGTTTCTAGGTTTAGGGTGAAAGGCCAGCCACTTACCCACCTGAAGAAGCGTCCAGATGCTGCCCCATTGGGTCACAGTACAGAGTATGAGCCCCTTTGATCTAACTTGCCACTGTCAGGAAAATCCCGGAAACACCCTTCCCTTCCCAAGGCAGCCCGGCTGCGGTTTGGGTGGTGCCGCCCCCCCCCCCCCCAAGCAGGTGGGGTGACACAGTGGCTGAGGTTGGGATGTGTCAGACGAAAAGGACGGCCCAGCCAGGACACGGTTCAGATGTGGTGTTCATAGGATCGCTGTGGCCAGGTGGCTGCTGGTGTCACCAGCTGCTCCTCTGGACTCATGGGTCCCACCTGCTGCCGCTGTGTGACTTGAGACCTGGGGGTTGGGGAAGGGGTGATGTACCCAGCCTAGGAGTGACCAGTGACCTCAGGAAGCCCCACAGTGACTTCTGCAGCTGAGAACTTGGTCCCTTGCCCACTGTGTGTCCAGGGTCCCATCTGTCTTCTTGCCACCCTGTTTTGGGGGTGGGGTGGGAGTAAGACCCTGAGGAGGAGGCAGCCGGAGGGCAGGGGGCCTGATTCTGTGTGTGACTGACTGTGGCTTTGTGCTGGTTCCAGCCATGCTCAGAGCCTCAGTTTCCCCAATTAAAGCAAACTCGTCATCTCAGTGGTGCTGCTTGAGGGGGGTGGGAAGGGGATCATGGCACTTGGGTGGGGCTGGAGAGAGCAGGTGGCAGGGGACATGGGCACTGACGAGGCAGGGGAGGGCAGAGGCCGGCCACCAAGAACCCAGGATAGGCTTACACTGGAGGCCACTATCCTCCAGCACCTGCCCCTTCCTCCCTCCACAAGGCTGAGAGGCCCCCAGCAACCCCAGTCCCAGCTGGGCCCCAGGCCTCCTACGGTGCGACCCCAGCTGGGAGCTGTGACATGCCTGCCCACCCCACCGGTCTGAGGCTATGGGGCACAAGTGGGGGAGACAGGGTCTCATGTGCTTTGGCTGGAAAACAGGGCAGTGGTGCAGCTAAGAAGCCCTGCTTCACTTCCAGCCCCACCTGAGTCCCACTTGGCCTTCTGGCGTCAGCAGCCCCCCAGCTTTTTGAGGCAAATGACGCCCCCCATCCACCATGTCCAGTATTAGCTGGGCAGGGCTTGCTACGATAGAGTGGAGGAGAGCTGAGAAGAGGGTGTGGGCTGGGTCCTTGGGGCTGGAGGACGAGGGTGGGCATGCAGAGCTGTGCCATGTGGACGAGAGTGCAGAAGCTCTTGGGTGGTGGTCTTGGGGAGTACGAGTGCCCAGAGGAAGGAGCCCTCACTTGCACCCTGATTTCCACCAGCCCTCTGCTGCTTGTGAAGGAGGCTGGCAGCGTGGCCTGGAGGGCTGGCCAAGCTCCTGGTTCTCCAGTGGAAGAGTCCAGCTCACTCACCTTAAAGCCTGGTAGGATTTCACCTCATGGATCAGCTGGAGGGGACAGATCCCACAGGGACATGCTCCAGGGCTCCCCTGCTGGCCCCTCAGAGGCTGACCTGCCTCAAGCTTGGCCAGTGCCCTGACCACACCTCCCCCCACAGGTCTGGCACCATGCTCAGCTGCTCCAAACTCTAGACCAGACCCCAGGCCATTGGTCATCTCCTCCTCGCTTCAGGAGTCTCTCTCTCGACGGCTGCGCACCATGGCTGGGGACCGACTCCCACGGAAGGTGATGGATGCCAAGAAGCTGGCCAGCCTGCTGCGTGGTGGGCCTGGGGGGCCGCTGGTCATCGACAGCCGCTCTTTCGTGGAGTACAACAGCTGGCACGTGCTCAGCTCTGTCAACATCTGCTGCTCCAAGCTGGTGAAGCGACGGCTGCAGCAGAGTAAGGTCACCATCGCTGAGCTTGTCCAGCCGGCCTCCCGCAGTCAGGTACGAGCAAAGGACAGCCCCAGAGGGCAGCCCCAGGGCTCCCCACCCCGGGGCTCCCCACCCCGGGGCTGCTTCCCACTGCTTCCAGCCTGATGCCTGAGCCCAAGGACCAATCAGGACCCCTCGTTCTGCCCACTCGCCGAGTTCCTGAATTGGCACACTCCTAGCTGCCGCTTTCGACCTCTCTGCCTCTGCCAACGCTGACCTCCCAGAACGGCACAGATGGCCCCTGGAGGGTGGCACTGCTCCTCAGAGTTCACCTTCCCCCCAACGCAGCCCGGGCCCTGTCTCAGAGAATGCTTTCCCGCCTCCCCAATGCAGCCCCGGCCCTGTCTCAGAGATCGCCTTCCCCCCTGCATGCAGCCGTGTCCCTGTCAAGGTCCCTTTTCAGCTCCCAAGGGGGGCCACATGGAGCACAGGATGCTGGAGGTGTACATGCACGGAGTGCAGGTGGCAGGGAAGGCCCTTGCACAGTTTAAGGGTACAAAAAGTATGAGACCTTGGGGTCTGGAGGACTGAGAGGCTGGTCCAAGGGCTCCCCGGGGCAGACATTTTCCCAAGCCCCCAACCCTCTCCCCTGCCTGCCGGGGTGTTACCGATGGAATTGGGGCCCTGTGGGGGAGCACAGAAATGTCACCCCATCTGAGTCTGACACCTCCCATTGGGTAACCATCATTAACACCCAGCCGGCTGCTGTCCAGTCCACCTGGGCCCCTGGACACTCGGCTTCCAAGGCTGTGAATCTGTACACGGAGAAATTGCCCACCTTTCTCCCATCGGGGATTCGAGCCTCTGACGTCTCTTAGCTTCCCGACACGAGAGCTCCACACCACGTGGGCTCTTTTACCATCATATTTTCTTCAAAATGCACGTCAAGCTTGCTTCCCTCTCACGGAGCGTGCTGACACTCCCTGGCGTGCCCCTCCTTGCTCACTGCTGAAGGAAGGTCTGGGGGCGCTCAGCGTCAGAGTCGGCCGTTTCTCCTCTTCCGTACTCCGTACTCCGCAGAGCAAGGTCCTGGAGATGCCTCAACCCAGGGAGGGGGCTCCCAAGTTGGAAAGCTCTGTGTTAACTCTTGGGACAAGGCCTCACAGCTGGGAGGGTTCCAGTGACGGTGTATAGAAACTACTTGGTGATGCCAGGGCACATGCCAGCCCTCAGATGCCCCTCTGCCTACTTCCCAGTGGACACCCTTTTGCCGTCTGGCCTCTTTGATGACCCAGGGTTGGTTTCCAGGAATGTTGGGGTCATCTGCACAGACCTAGCCTATCTCTGTCCCTGCCCCAGGAGGGACACTCTGCTCCCCCCAGAACACCCTCTCCAGCCAGGGCGGGACAAGCTGAGCACTCCTCCTGCTTGCTGGGGCTCAGGACCTCCTCTCCAGTGCCCTAGCAGGGGGTGGGGGATGACGGGCCCATCAGCTGCGGGGAGGGGCAGCCTTCTGGCACAGGCCAAGAAGGGAAAGGACCTGTGTGGGGTAGCCCAGTCGGGAGCCCCCAGGCTGGCAGACGTGCTCCCTGGGTCCAAGCGGGAACCAGCCGGTGATTAATCTCCAGTGAGAACACAGCCAGAGTGCAATCCCATTGGCTGCCGGTGACATCACCAGCGGCTGGCAGCTCAGCTGGCTCAGGGCTGTGTGTGCTGGGGGGCGGGGGCATCACCCCGCAGAGCAAAGCTGCTCCGCATCTGGTCCCCTGCGGGCCAGCCTGCTTGGGGGAGGGAAGGGAGAGCCCCCTTTCTGGGCAGCTTCCAGGGATGGGGTGGGGTGGACTAGAGCCCGTAGTTTCCCTGAGGCTCCCAATCCTGGCAATGACTTGGCAGGGAGCCCCACTGTGCCCTCCACTCAAAGCCCCTCCCCTATCTTGGAAACCCATCAGAGGGGCTCAGGAGTTCCTGTGGGCCAGCCCCCCTCTAGTCAGTACTGGGCACCCCGTTCCACACCTGTGTGTCCTTGGCCCTCTGTGCCCTGATGGCTGCCAGTGGATGGCCGCAGCACTGGCCACGGAGCCAGGGCATCGCTACCTGAGCAGGTGTGCAGGGACATGTCAGATGTGTGCCTGGTGCCCCCAGTCTCCTCACCGTGGTGGCAGCAGACCCTTCCCCAAGCTGTGGGCAGTGGGTGGCCAGCTGGTCTTGACCTCTGTCCTCACACTCCTAGGTGGAGTCAGCGGAGCCGCAGGACGTCGTGGTCTATGACCAGAGCACCCGGGACGCTAGCGTGCTGGCTGCAGACAGCTTCCTCTCCCTCCTGCTCAGCAAGCTGGACCGCTGCTTCGACAGCGTGGCCATCCTCACAGGTGAGGGGATGCCCTCCTGGCCTCACTGCCCTCACATTGCTGTGAGGGCAGGAGCTGTGTGTGCTGAGGGAAGTGGGGGCAGGGGGTGAGCGCAGGGGCCAGTTTCTGGGTTCTTCCTCTACCATCCAAGGAGCTGGAAGGAGTGGGTAGATATAACCTCATTTGGGGTCTGGCAGGGTATGGGTCCTTTAAACAGGTGAAGTAGCCAGGAGGCCCCATGTGCAGCTGTAGGTGGGAGGGGGAATGTGGGACCAGACCAAGATGTGGTCCATTCTAGGAGCTCCCCACTTCCAAGGTTCCCAGCCTGGTGGGGGCACAGAGCCTGCCATCTGGACGGGCCATCTGAACAAGCTGTCCCAGGCCATAGGAATCTCCTGGCAAACTGGACTCAGGTGCAGGTTGCCTAGCAACAGCCTAGCCAATCAGAGCTGCCACCCAGGGGATGTGCAGAGGCCCCTCCTCCTAGATAACCCAGTCTCCTCCAAAAGCCATCTGAACAGTGGCCACAGAGGGGACCATCTTGAAGCTGGGAGGCCCACTACACATGCTCACATGCGCGCGTGCGTACACACACACACACACACACACACACTCTGGGGAGGTTCCAGAGGGTTCCCTCCTGGCATGAGAACAGAGGGAGCTCCTACAGGCTCTCCCCATCATCCCTCCCCACAGGGCAGGTCCCAGAGCACAGGGAACTAGCCCCCTGGGTGAGCATTATGCCAGCTCAGGTCTGTGGCCTCTGAGGACGTACCTGGTCTCCATATGCCAGTGCTGCGACTGGTGCAGGGGAGGCATGGAGGGATGGAGGCACCGGGGCAGCATCAGGTGCTCCTGTCCACCTGTCTATTGGACACCATGTCCCAGCACCCACAGTGACAGCCCTCAGAGCGTCCTGAGTCACTTTAGGAGGACTCTGAGGAGATGCCACGGGAGAGACCCAAGAGCATCAAGGTCATGCCAGTCAGGAGAGGGACTGCAGGAGAACAGGGAGAGGCAGGAATGTGTCTGGAGCGGGCCATGGACAGTGACCACGCACATCAAGGGCAGGCAGGGGAGAGACGGCGTCAAGGACATGAACAGCACTGACCAGAAGCCTGGGCTTCACCCCAGGGTACAGGGAACCTGCGTCTGTGGGTGCCCCCCTCCCGAGTTAATCTCCTGAGGTGGAAAGAGCAGGGCTGTCCTCTCTCTCAGATGTGGGGGCAGAAGTTAGAACCCAGGGCATGAGCAGGCCCCCACCTCGCAGGCTCCCCCAGTGTCAGGTGGTCCCAGGCTGTCCTGGGCTTGAGATCGCAGCACTCCTGCCTCCGCTCAGTCTCTACCGGCGTCGTCCCTGTGTGCCCACAGCTGTGCCTCTCCTAGGGTGAGGTGGGATTAGGACCCACGCTGCCCAGTGTGGCCACATGTAAACTTGATCTCACCCCTCTGCTGGGGTGCTCAGTCTCAGCACTGGACTCCCCTCCCCCTCCCCCTCCCCCACCCCTCATCTGGGTTTTGTAGATGCGGAAACGTTCTCCAGCCAGAACCCATGCAAGGGACAGGGCAGGGACAGAGCTGACCCTCTGCCCTGGGGACTGGGCCAAAGTCAGTGTCAGCCCAGGACTCCCTCCTGCAAGGCCCCATGTCGGGCACAGTGACCACGGCAGCCACAGCCTTGGCCCCTCATCATCAGTGCACAGCCGGCCTCTATCACATGCCCCTCCCTCCCTCCCTGGAGGCAGCCAGCGTTCGCATCGCCCACTCTGGCATCAGCGTCTGCGGTCCCTTGGCTCCCAGACCACTCTGGGAGTGCCCCTGGGACCCTTACTGGCCTTTGAAGGCCCTGTGGTCACCTTGAGGCACTACCTCTGTCTGTCCTGGCCCAGTTTGCACACTCTTCTTCCACGTGTCCACGCCACTGCCCCTCTCAGTGCCCTGCTGCCCTTGGGGAGACCTCAGCCAGTTCCGTGGCCCACCATCCATGCCACACTCTCACCATCCAAGTCTTTGCCCGTTGGTCCTCTGCTCCCTGCTGGACACATTTTTAATTGTCATGTCAAGGTCAGTACAAACATCCCTCTTGCAGGGAGCCTGCCTGGATTAGACTCCTGGAATCTCTGTGGTCCCTTTGGTCACGATGCTGTGCTGGGTCCATCTCCGCCCTGGGCTGTGAAGGAGGGCACAGAGGGTGCTGTCAGGCCCACAGGTGCGGCCTTTCTGCACCCACGTCCGTGCTCATGGTGCTTGAGTGGGAGGTGACTCCAGGTTACACAGCCCCTTTTGTCTTCATCCCTCAGGCTGGCAAAGGGCAGCCTTTCCCTCGGCGCCTCCCTGCCCACAAAGGCAAGGATGGCAGATCATCATCTCAGGTGCCCTGGGCATGTTGTCAGGAGGGCCAGTCCTTAGAAAGGGACATCATGCTGGAAAAGGTGGAGGGTCAGAGACAGGAAGACCTTCAAGACAAAATGACACGATGACCGTGGGTGGGGTGATGCGCTGACCATGACCGTGGACAGATTGACACACTGACCATGACCAGGTTGACATGCTGACCATGACCATGGACAGATTGACGCACTGACCATGACCTTGGGCAGGTTGATGCGCTGACCGTGACCAGGCTGACGCACTGACCATGACTGTGGGCAGGTTGATGCACTGACCGTGACCAGGCTGACGCACTGACCGTGACCGTGGATGTGTAGACACACTGACTGTGACCATGGCCTCCAGCCTGGTGTGACGACAGGACAGGACAGGGTTTCAATAGGTTGTTCACAGGGTCACTATGAGTTGTAGTCAACCTGAAGGCACCTAACAACACATCCGGGTGCCGACCTCACAGTGTGCTTCCCTGAGAGCTGGCTGTCCCCTTCCACATTTCCCTGGAGACCAGCTTGGTCTCCATGTACTACTCACCTATGACAAAGGGGAATTTGCTCGAGTTTCTCCAGGGACAAGTTGGGGCTGTGTCTGTTTCTGGGTAGCTGGGGACGAGTCTTAGTGACACAACCCAAGAACTAGGGTCTGGGGGAGCCTCTTGGCTTTCCTAAACCCCTACCTGAGAGGAGCACAGCCCTGAGGAGACAGAGAGGGACAAGTTGAGAGACAAGGCCCCCACCCAGTACTGGTGGCACTTACCCATCTGCTGGAAATGGCAAATGTCACGAGGGGAGCACAGACCAGAACTTAGCCCCACCCACCCATGGGGTAAGGAGATTCCCCCTTCTCTTTTTGGGGCCCATGATGACCTCTGTGACTCCAGCCCCTGCATCATAGCCCAGGTCACTGAACCTGGGTCACACTATTTCCTATCTTGGACCCCTGAGCAGTGGACACAGTGTGTGTCTGGTAGTGACCCCACATCCTCCCTCTTAGAAGCAGAGATGGGCTGTGAGGAAGGAGTGCGTCTCTGTGGCTGTGCGTCCTTTCCTGGGAGCCTCAGGCGTGGGCCGGGGTCAGGGGGTGGGTGGTACAGACAGGTACCTGTTTCTCTGCGTCCTAGAGATTTCAGTCTGGGCACACCGGCAGCTATGCCCACCCTGGTTTCTCGTGAGTTGAGAGGAGGGACAGGACTGTTGAGGAAAAGTGGCCTTGGAGGTAGCTAGAGGCAGGGGGTGCACACTTCTCTCAGGCTCCATCCCCTTCTATTTCGCCTACCTGTCAGAGTTTCCTGGCACCAAGGACAGAGGCTCAGTGCCCTGCTGGGCTGGCACCTGTGGTGTTTGTGGGGAGTGGAGAGCACCTGCGGAAGGGGCGTAAGAGCAGCTTAGAAGGGTTGACACCTGGCCAGCCTTTCCCTCCACACCTTTGAGGAGGACCAGCCAGCTGCTGGTGGAAGTCCCTGCATTCTCCCCAAGCGGTTAAGAGAAGTGGTGGGAATGGATGGAGATAGGGATTGGTGGAGGCCTGATCCATAGTCCTGGGTCCTGGATCAGGGGTGCCCAGAACACTCAGCTGTCCATGGACTTCCTCCACAGGGACCCCAGGCAGGACACATCTCCCTCTCGCTGCAGGGCCAAGTTGCCCCTGAGGCTTATTCTGAAGGGAGATACCCTCAGATCTGGCTCACAGGGTCACTGCAGGTCATATTCAACTCGAGGGGACCCAACAACAGCCTGCAAGTTGGGCTCTGGAGCAGGCCAGGGCTGAAGACTGAGCCCCAGGCTTTTCTGTCCTGGAGGCCTCCTTGAGGGCGGTGAGGGTGGAGTTCGAGGAAGCCCTGCCTTCTCTGTGGGTGAGACCTCAGGTCGCACCTAGTAGTCACTGTGTGGCCTGGGGGTGGCCATAGCCAGAAACAAGGGCCCACCTTGCTAGGAGTCAGGGACGTGCCATGCTCTGTAAGGTCCACCTGTGCCCAGCAGTGCCATCCACTCGGAAGCCTCGGGCACTACTCACCAAAGCCAGCCCATTGCTGACCTGAACCCCTGACCACCTCAGCCAGGCTAAGGCCAGTGTTCAGGAGTGCCCCGGCTGTCATCTTGGTTGGGCCACGTGACAGTGGCATGCACAGGCAGCACGAAGCCGCTGAAGTCAGAGTGACACACTCCTGTGGTCATGCACTGGGTCCATGCTGGGGTCTTGAACCTGTGTCTCTGCAGCCACTGAGGGGTTCCTTCCGTCCCCTTGGAGCTCAGCACACAGATGGGGACTGTATGTGCAGGTTTACCTGCTTGGCCCCGCAGGTTCCCTGTCCCGAGGGTCCCCACCCACTGCCCACTTTAGACCTCTGTCCTCTCCCTCAGCCTGGGCTGTGTCAGGAATGGCAGTGACCACACCCCACAGGCTGTGCCAATTCCAAGGGATGATGTCATGCCAGCGGAGGCCCTCAGATGCCCTCGTCTCTGGCCCTGGTCCCCAAGCCAGTTCCAGGGCACCCAGCCAACTAGAGGTGATTGCATCAGCACAGGGACCAGGAAAGGCCTAGCTCAGGAACTGGCCATGGTGTCAGCCCCTGGGAGCATTGCTCCCCTCTCAGCTAAGCGCACCATGTTCCCCCCAAAACCTCTGTAACCTGAGGGCCACCCCCTGCCTGGGCCCCCGCCACCTCAGCCCATTTATGGGCGTTGTTAATAGCGTCCTCATTGAGGCCAGCCCCTAATTAGTCAGGGGAACAGCCTGTGAGTGGCCATCCTGCGTCCAGGAGACAGAGCAAGTGAGTGGGCAGCCCACACCCGCCCTAGTCAGGGCTGCCGTCGTGGGTCTAGACACTGACTAGACGTCAGCAGCCAAGCCCGGGCCCTGGACACAGACGGGGTGCCCTGGCTGGAGGTCAGCAGCCATGCTGAGGCTCTGGACACAGGGTGCCCTGGCTGGAGGTCAGCAGCCAGGCCCAGGCTTTGAAGGTTGCGATGGGTGTGGCTCTCAGAACCACTGCAGGGAAATAAGGTCTCTCACTCACCCAGCCCAGCGTCCGCCTGCTGACCACACTCTCCTCTGTCCCTCCTGTGCAGGGGGCTTCGCCACCTTCTCCTCTTGCTTTCCTGGCCTCTGCGAGGGCAAGCCAGCCACCCTGCTTCCCATGAGCCTCTCCCAGCCCTGCCTGCCTGTGCCCAGCGTGGGCCTGACCCGCATCCTGCCTCACCTCTACCTGGGCTCCCAGAAAGACGTCCTGAACAAGGTGTGTACCACTTGTGGGAAGAGGGGCTGGGGGCGGCCGGAGGGGAACCCTTAGGTTTGGTGGGGACCAGAGCTGGGCTGGGGGTAGGACCAGGGGGAGCCAGCTGAGCCCCCTTGCCTCTCAGTGGAGCCCACGTGCCAGACTGCTGTCACCAGGCTCTGGGCTAGCCCTGAAAAGATCCCATGTTTTAAAAATGGACAAGTGGGCACGGCACCATCCAGGTCGCCGTGAACTCCACAGCTTCCCAGAGGCTGTGGTGTGGCAAAACACAGCCCCCCACTCACCCACACCAGGTCTTTGGTTCCGGCCAGAAGCATGTCTCCAGCCAGAACCAGTAACCCTGTGGCCCCTCCACCCAGGCTCCTCTCATGTGCTTCCTGGGTGCCAGCACCCCAAGATGTCATAGTCCTGGCTGGCTCTGAGAGGGGGAGGCCCTTTCTTACCTCACCCCAGCCCCCCTTCCAGGGATCTCCCTCCCCACAACTCCTCCCAACCTGTCCCCTTGGCCCTCCAGGACCTGATGACCCAGAATGGAATAAGCTATGTCCTCAACGCCAGCAACTCGTGCCCCAAGCCTGACTTCATCTGCGAGAGTCACTTCATGCGCATCCCCGTTAATGACAACTACTGTGAAAAGCTGCTGCCCTGGCTGGACAAGTCCATCGAGTTCATCGGTGAGGGCGGGCCTGCGGCCAGTGTGTGATTGTGTTGGGGGGGGTGAATGTAGCCAGCCTGTGTGTGCACAGGTGTACGTGCGCGTGCACACCTGCAGAGTGTCCATGCAGACACTAATTCCATAACCAGGAGTTGCCCTTGAGAAGCCCCTGGGATTATAGGCAGGAAAAGTGGAGTCCCCTGCCGCTCTCTCTTGAGTGGCGCTTGCCTGGGGACCCCACATCTACCTCACCCCACTGCCTGCCCGCCCCCAGATAAAGCCAAGCTGTCCAGCTGCCAAGTCATCGTACACTGTCTGGCTGGCATCTCCCGCTCGGCCACCATTGCCATCGCTTACATCATGAAGACCATGGGCATGTCCTCTGACGACGCCTACAGGTACCACCCCCAGTCCTCCCCCCAGCCCTGGCTCCCATGGGCTGGTGGTTACCACCGAGGTTGAGGGACCCCTTAAGTCTTGGTGCGGGGGGAGGGGGGCTGAGCCCACCTCTGCAGATAAGGCCATGGTGCCCACGTCATCCAAGCCCCTTGAGCTGGCGCAGGGGAAGCTGGGCTAGGTGGGCGCCCCGCCTAAGCTGTCGTCACCTTAGGTTCGTGAAGGACCGGCGACCGTCCATTTCACCCAATTTCAACTTCCTGGGCCAGCTGCTGGAGTATGAGCGCAGCCTGAAGCTGCTGGCTGCCCTGCAAGGCGATGGGGCCCCCTCCCCAGGGACCCCGGGCCCCCTCCTGGGCCCTCCGCCCCCTCTGCCTCCGCTGCCACCACCTACCTCAGAGAGCACCGCCGCCGCCCGAGAGGGCTCCCCCCCAGCGCCCGCCGCCCCAGCCACGAGCGCGCTGCAGCAGGGCCTGCGCGGCCTGCACCTCTCCTCCGACCGCCTGCAGGACACCAACCGCCTCAAGCGGTCCTTCTCACTGGACATCAAGTCGGCCTACGCACCGAGCCGGCGGCCCGAGGGCCCCGCCGCCCCCGATCCCGGAGAGGCCCCCAAGCTCTACAAGCTGGACAGCCCCGGAGGCGCGCTGGGCCTGCCCTCGCCCGGAGCCGACAGCCCCGACTTGACGCCGGAGGCGCGCCCTCGGC